ACGAAGGTTCAGTTTGGGTACAAGGTTTTCTTTGAATATTTTCCTGCTACCCTGGGTGGAATCCTCGGTGGAGAACCTGAGAGGCCAGCTCTGCTCACCTGCCCGAGAGTAAGCTCTGTGTTAAGGAAGTCCCCTCCCCTGTAGCCCGCGTCTCTCTCCTGCCTTCATGGTCACCAGGGCATACCTTCTGGCTCACCCCAGGCTCTGCCCAGGTCTGGTGAGGCTCTTCCCACGAAGGTGGGTGTGCAGCCCAGGTACCAGTGATGGGGCCTTCCCACTTCTGCTTCTCCCTCCTAACTTCTGCACACACCTGATGATGTGCCTCTGACTGCTGTTAGACCCCAGGACCTCTCATCTGCACCCCAGGAACTCACAGCTGCTTCCTGTCTCAGACACACTCGAACCCCTTCCTATAGATGCACAAAGTCCTCGGTGAGTGGGACCGTGCCTGCCACACTGAGAGAGGAGTGTGCAGTTCCGGAGATGGCAGCTGCCCCGGGCATGCACAGAGCGCCAGAGGAGCCCGACAGCAGCTGTGGTGGTTGGGTCAGGTGGAGACAGGAGGCAGGAGCCCTGGGTCTCACCAGGTGGATCAGCGATCAGAGTCAGGAAGACCCGGGAACACAGAGGAGCAGGCTCTGCCTGCAGGGAGAAGGTGGCTGGCCAGACCTCGGCTGGAACCCGCCTCGGCGACCCACCTACTCCTTAGCTGGTTAAATGTAGGTCTCATTCCTTGGACGCTCGGAAGAAGAAGGGGCTGGACACCCTCCTTGGCCTGAGGGCAGCCCCACGGCATCACTGCCATTGTTGGAAGGGCGGGGAGCCCTGACGAGGCTGAGGGAAGATGAAAGGCCCGTGGCGWCAGGTGCTGCTGGTGTGCTGAGGGCAGGTGTCTGGGACAGCAGCACTGTGTCGAGGGTCTCTGGGTACACAGGGAGGCCTCCCCAGGGGTCTGCCTCTGCAGCTCGGTCCTCCCTGCCGGGGCCACCTGGCACACCACCTCTGTCTGGCAGGGACATCCCCACCCGCCTTGGCACTTGTGTCCTCAGCCGCCAGCCCCACTCACTTTGAAGCCTCTGTCTTGCAGGTTCCTAGGGACAGATGGTCACAGGAAGCACAGTCCCCACCTGACCCTGCGCCACTGCCACTGGCTACTGGAGGTCCTCCAGGGCRGCCTCCTCACTGGCCTCCTGCCYAGGCRTGTGCAGCCGCACCGGTCTTCCTTGGTGTGCTGAGTGGCTCCGTTGGTCCCCGGCCGTTCCCGTGTCTGAGTTTGTTCCTTCTCCTGGTTTCTTCTCCTCAGACAGCAGGATCCGGTCTCACCTCCTCGCTTCCTCGCCCACAGACCTCTTGAGCTGCCCATCACGTCCGTGGTGTGGCCTTGAGCCACCTCAGACCCCTTTCTTAAGCATGACCCCGTCGAGTGCCCGGGCCAACATGGTCCCCATTTTGGAGGTAAACAGTTGTTTTGATGCCTCACCTGGCTGGCCCTCTGCTACGTGACCCTTGCAGGTGGACAGCCTCCTCTTGGTGGCCCTGCCACGTTGCTGCGCCTGGTCTCCTGCCCACAGCATCTCCACCGTTGTCTACCTGCCAGCAGGCGCCAGTGACCCCCAGAGCTGGCTTGGCCGTGACTGGTCCCCTCCTGTTCCTGGTTCCTGTGGCCCTGGGGTCAGGAGTGACTAGGTCTCTCTCTTTCTGGGCCACCCCTGCCCAGCTGTCAGATGGACATATTTCTACTTCAAAGTGCCACAAAATCTCAAATGGACATATTTAAAATGACACCATCATTCCTTTCCTCTGCGATGGTCTGAATGCTTGTGTCCCCTGAAGTTCACGTGCTGCCACCTGGCCAGTGGGCCTTGTTAGGGCCGTGCTAGCTGGTGGGTCTGAACCACCATGTGCAAGGGCATCCACCCTGGCTCCCTGGCTCCCAAGCCAGCAGACACATTTGTCTGAGTACTTGCAGATGCATCTGATTTGGAAGGGCCGATTTGCYGATCAAGAGCTTCTTTTTTAGAAATACCCAGCAGTCCTAAAGATGAAATGTTTCCATTTTCTTTAACTCAGCTCTGTCTTCATTCAGATAAGACTTTGCTAGGGACAAACGGATGGGAGAGAAGACCTCCCACCTGGTCTCCAGGTTGCAAAGAGTGAGATCCCTGCAGGAGGAGCCAAGAGGTGAGGCCACACTGCATAGCTCACAGCTGGCCCTGGGCATGGCTTCCAGGGTACCTGATTTATTGAGCATCAGGGCCCAGAGCCATGACCTTTGTCCCTGCTTCATCTACTCTTTAACTTTGGCCTCTGCTGATGAGTAATTCTTCATCCCTTAGACAGATTGTCGTGATGGGGGACAGGAGAAGTAAGGCCTGTACCTTCTGTTTCAACCTGTGCTAGCTGCTGAGGCCCAGGCAGTTTGTRGTCATGGCAGAGGTAAGTGTCCACACGTCTCCAGGCACCAGAGGGACATGGCCATGGCCCAGGTATGCAGGCTTGGGAAAGCTTCCAGGCAGCCCGGGAAGCCTGGAGAAGGCCATGGCCCAGGGACCTCGGAGGCCGCATGGACCAACTCTCCAGTAAGTCTAGTTGTCCATGTTTAGCTGTGCTCATAGCCAATATTAATCTTACTGTATTTTCAGAAAATGATACCAAGCCTACCTAATAAAACAAATGTTCAACAGATAAAAACACTGGTCCATACACCCTGAGCATTCATTATCCAGCCTACAAAAGGACAGGAATACCAACACGGGCTACAGTGTGGATGGACATTAGGACATTCTACTGAGGGGAATAAGCCAGTCACAGAGGGACAAATGCAGCAGAGCCCACTCACATGAGGTCCCTAGCACCATCCTACTAGAGACATGGAGGTGACATGGGGTGGGGGGCGAGGATGGGTAGCTGTTGCTAGAGGGCACTTGCTTCTGCTTGGGGTCTGAAGCAGTCCTGGAGATGTTTGGCAGCCAGGTGGACATCCGCGACACCATCTAGCCATCGTCCAAACTCAGCTAAGACGGTGTGCTACGTGGGGGTCACCACCATTTAACACCAAAGCCAAACCAAAGGTGGCTCTGTCCTGCTCTGGCTGCACCGTGGGCCTCCTGTCCACCCTCATGCCCATCTTCCCGTGCCCCATGAAGGCCCTGCTCTACCATGTCCAGACGCACCTGGAGGACGGTAGGCCAGCCTCTGCAGGGTGCCAGTTTCCATCCCCTGCAGGGAAGTGCAGGACACCGTCCAGCCCTGGTCAAGCCTCAGCTCTCCACATGAGCCCCCACCGAAGCCCCCCTGAGACGACTGACATGTGTTCCCATCAGCCTGGCCCCACACCTGCTGTGGCCCCAGGCCTGGCAGTGGCTGGCCCTGGGTGGGGCCCTCTCACTCCTGCCCTGGGCCTCTGGGGCCTCCCGGGATTGGGGACGCCGAGGGTAGTGCCTGCCGAGCCCTGGGGTGGGGGCGGGGGTGCCCACTGGAGGTATTTCCTCGTGAGGTGTACCTCACCCCGAGATCCCATCTGTAGTGGGCAGGCTGCCAGGCACCCTCCACTCTGAGTCCCTGTTGGAATGGCCCTTGGGGAAGGAGGCTGTGGGTGAGCCAGTGGTGGGTGAGAGCCCAGAGCAGAGCGGCTGGCATCTGGGGAAGCTGGGGCAGGGGGTGGCCCCTCCCTAGCCCCTGACCTCCATGGGCAGAGGTGCCCTCTCTGCCCTCCCCACTCTGGGCTATCATCCTGTCCATGGAARGTTTGGAGACAGGAGTGGGCACCACTCCTCCAGCACCTCAGCAAGAGGAGCACTTTCCCTGGAGTGACCCTGGCGAGCCTCAGCCTTGCTCAGAGGCGTGGCCCAGTCTTGGAGAGCCTGGAATAGCTCCTGTGCACTGTGTGGGGTGTGTCCTGCAGAGCTGGCTGCCCGCGTACGCAGAGGAACCTGCACCCTGGCTCTTTGGAGACACTGGTGGGGTCAGACAGGAAGAAACCAGGAAGGGTCATCCTGCTGGCCTTGCTGTACTGTGGACAGAAGCCCCTGACCTTGTGCACAGATCTAAGGGACAAAGTGACCTGTTGGTGTGAAAGGGGGCAAATGGCTCAGGGGCCAGTGTGTCCTGTGTGTGAGCTCTTCTTTCAAGGGTCCACCTGCCATGGGGAGGGGACAAGAATGGCATTCAGTCTTTCTTTCTGAGTGTATGTATAGCATCTGCAGTTTCCACCTAAGCAGAGACTTCATTAATACTTAGGAACATCCTCCTTAAGTGTTGGGAGGCTTGGTGTCAGTCCTGAACTCTCCCTGTTCTGGGTCTCTGCTGTTCATCTTGTATTCTAGGTGGTTTTACAGAGGGGTGCAGGGTGCACAGGACTGGTCTCTGTGGGGAATACGTGAGGAGCAGCAGCAAGGAGACCTCAAGAGTCTCTCTAGGGTAACTGTTTGTGTTGCACAGAGGGGCCTGGGCTCCCAGCTCCTCAGACAGAGTGGAACGCGTCCTGCTGGCCTTTGAAGTCTGTCTCTGCTCAGGCCTGTCACCTCCCCTAGGAGCCCGACAAGCTGCATGCCTCAAAACAGAGCTCTTCTAAGACAGTCTAATTTCATGTATTTCTTTTTAAATTAAGCAAAGAAAAATTAAGGCGGGCTATTGGGTCCTGGGCGATTTTTCAGTGTGTTTTGACATAAACCTGCTAGGACAGTGGGTCTCTTTTCCAGCAGGGCCTCCTGCGAGTTCCAGCAGAGATCAAGGAGGTGGCCTACAGACAGTGTGTGCAGTTAGAGCCACCTCTACCGTGGGTCCTGGTGAGCAGCTTTGGAACTCCCTGTCCCCAGGAACAGATGTGACCACACAGTTGTGCTTCCCAAGCAGATTTAAAGTCCCGTTCATTGCCCCCAACCTCCAGGTTCCCCTAGTTGGCCTGAGGGTCATCCCTTTTCTTTCTCAGTGGTGACAAAGCCTGTGGGCAGCTGGGCAGCTGCAGCGGGGTGACCCACCGCGGCCAGCCAGGCACTCACCTGCGGTGTGTGAGGAAGCTGCCGCTGACRTGCCCTGATCCGTCACACCCCGGCGTGGGGCAGGACATTCCTTCCGTCTTGACCGACTTCCAGGAGAACTGGGAGCCATTGAGGTACCCATCTTTCTGCCTCTTGGCCGCCAAGGGGCACCCCGAGGCGCTGCGGTGGGACGCATACTTCCCAGTGATGTGGCCCTGACCGTCACAGCCTGGGACAGGACACCTGGACAGCAGACAGAGGGGACAAATTTCACTGTCATTGCTCGAGGACCTACAGGAAAAGGAAAGGGAGCTGGTGCAGTCAGCCGGCCGGGCCTGGAGCTGGTGGAGACCAAACGTGGGCCAAGGGCGCCACCTGGTGGAGCCTCCAGGGTGGCCCTGGGCAGGCTGCGGCCAGCCCAAGCCTCTGGACCAAGGCCTCAGTTTTGTTGTGTTTCAACAGATGTTTTTTCCTCCAAAAATACTGAGATTGGAAATTCAGAAAGATCGCCAGGTCATCCTGCAGACTTTGACATGGGGCACAGTGGCACTGGTGTGGGGCTGACCCCCTTGCAGCCAGATCTAGGGCCAAGCCAGGGAGCTCAGTGCTTCACCGAGGGCCAGGATCAACCAGGATATCAGTAAAATATTCACTTCCGTTTTCTATTCAATTCCTCATGAACCTTCACGAGTCTGCTCTCCTGTCAGGTCTGCTGGGGACAGGGAGTCTCTTGGTTTTCATTTTGGTATCACTCACAATATCAGCCATACAAGCTGATTGCGGAGCATCACCGTTCCTGCTTGGCCAGTTCCCACGCGTGGTTTGGTTTACCTGACTTCCCAGTTTATTGAAACCTCAGCAGATGCTTACTGTGACCTGTGGGCTCTTTTTCCTATGGATGCTCACTGGCTTCCTTAATAGTTCCTGGCCTCCTGACCCTCATACCTGATGGGCTCCTGGTCTTCTTTATCTTCTTTGCTTTGTGCTATCCGTATGCCACTTTTTTTTGCTCTTGGACACCCTGAAAGGCTAAAAGAGAAACACCTCTCAGAATCGGYGCACACCTGACTCTGGCAGGCTTTCTTGACTAGGGTGCAGGCTGTGACTCCCTTCTCCCCAGCTTGGGCTTCTGGGGACGAGACCCATCGGGGAGGAGGTTGCCCTGCACTCTCTCAAAGCCTCTCCCTTCAGTCCTTCCCAAGGCTGTAAGAGACTGGGGTGGTGAGGATGCTGGGGTGGTGAGGTGGTGAGGGGTCGGCCTCCTAGGGAGCAGCGGCTCTGCAGGAGAAGTGCAGGGGATGTGGAGGAGAGAGCTGGCTGAGGCAGGGAGCCACCTGCCGGGGCGACTGCTGCGGGATAGGAGGCCCAGATCCCCAGGCCCTGCTCCTGCTGCTTCCAGGCCCTCCCTTGGTCTGCACGGGGGAGTGTCGTGCTGAGCCCTGTCCCTCTGCTTCCCAGGCCCGCACTGTGGCTGTCTCTGCAGAAGGGACGGTGGGGGCTGAGCATGTTTATTTAACTCTCTAGTTTTGGAGACAGAGACCTCGGAATTGGACCCCCTGGGCCTGTCCTGAAGTGTGACTCCATGTTCAGCAACACYTGTTAGGCAGGCTAGGGTCCACTCTGAACCACAGCAGAGCTGTCCCTGTTCACAGCCTTTGAGGTTCTCCATTGCCACACGCTGACCCGTTTCCCAGTCCATCTGCCCCTTGGCCCTGCCTGCAGGCTGCCACCTGGCCCCCAAGTCCCTCTGTCCTCCTGTGGGCTGGTTCACAGGACTCCATTTCCATGTGCGTGGCCTCAGCCACCTTGGCGCGAGGTCAGTCCTTCAGGAGTGCTGTGACCTCATCTTGCYACCTGGGAGCGCTCCCAAGACTCCCTGGTACCCTCTGCTCGCACCCCCCGCCCGCCCTCATCAGACCCCTCTAGGAGGCTTGTTCGGGGCAGGTTAGCCGCCGCTGTGTTCCCCGTGGGGTGGGGCTGTCTGGGACTGCAGAGTGCACCCAGGAGGAGGAGCCATGGCAGGTGGCTGTGTCCTCTCTTGGGCCCTAGGCATGTGCCTGCCCTGGCCCCTGCACTAACGTGGTTCCAGGACCATGGGGCTGAGTTCCCATGGGTCATGGGAAGGAAATTGCATGTGACTCTCTTCTTACTAGTTTTCATGCTTGAGGGAAGTGAGAGCTCTTCCCTCCTACCAGCTGAGCACAGAACACAGGGCCTGGTGTCCAATAGGTCCCCACATGCTCACTGAGGGGCAGATGGCACAGATCATCTCATGTGACTGGTTGCTATGCCGTAATCTAGACTGCACACTTTTTGGGGAGTGGCAGGGCCTAGAATTTGTGAAGTTCCTCTCTGTGGCATTCGGGTCCACTGAGCCCTGCTTATCAGACCTGTGGGGCACTGTGGCTCAGCTCTTACCCTGGAAGAGATCACTGTCCGGGCCAGAGAATGCTCACAGCCAGTGCTCGGAGACCTGAGGGACAGCTCGCTAGAGGGACCCTTCCTTGTTACGCCTTTGGGTGGAGAGCAGCCCGGGGAAGCCTGCAACCTGGCAGCAGAGCCGCCTGCTCTGCAGTGAGGTGTGGAGAGAGCCTCYGGGCTCTCCAGGGAAGGCGGGGGAAGGACGGCTCTGCCCTCTGGAGCCTTCATTTTACCAGGGAGCCAGCCGACTGCTCTGGAGCCACAGAGATGGAGGYTCCCTGCGGCTCCAGGGAGAGAACAGGGCCTCGAGGGGAGGAAGAGTCTTCACGTACCTCCTATGGGAAGCATAGTTGCCRGTGATGTGTCCAGAACCGTCACAGCCAGGGGTGGGGCACCTACAAGCAAAACGCGAACTGGTTGATTTACTGGAAGGAACGAGCATCCCTGACAGTGAACTTTCTTACTTAGACAAAAAGCAAACTCTTCTTTGCTCAACCTTGTGGTTGGAAGAGGCTGGACGGACCTGYGCTGAGCTCCCTCGCGCATTCATCCACGGCCACCAACAGGCCTGTGGCTCCCTCCTTCCTTCAAGCACAAGGACCTGTCCAGAAGAAATGCGAGTCTGGTGGCATTTCGGACTGCACTGCCAGGCTCTGGCTTCTTCCTGCTCTAAGTCTGGAGCAGGGCAGTAGGGCAGGGCTCGCTGACACACCAGGCCAGGCCTGAAGTCAGACGCGCACCTGGGAAGACTCGCCCCGGGCCAGCTGTATGGTGTCAGCCTGAGCTGGCACCACCCGGGGCTCCCTCACCCTGTGGGCACCTCATGGTCCAGCGAGCCCAGCCTGCATCTGGGCACTCAGGTGACCTGATTCCCCCCAAACCTGGGTTAGACCTAGCACCTAGTGCAGCATGGGAGAACATCTCTACCCTAGGCCACATCTGTGGGGCTCTCGACAAGGTCCCTGGGCACCCACACAGCGTCTGTGTAAACCTGCTGAGTACACCYGGCCATGGCTTGATGGGGAGAGGATTTCTCTTGAAGAGTTTTAACCCTCTCCATGCAACTCATTTGAAGAGCTACCTGAGGACAAGCAGAAGCATTCGGGTGGTAGCACTGCTTTGCACCACCACAAAGGTGAACAATAGGGCACAAAAATCAAGACAAATTTCCTTTTTCATTAAATTTGTAGGCCTCCAAAGGTAACGAAGATAAAGCGCTTCAGTGAGCCTGGTCACTTTGTAGTGAGACTCGGGTCGAGCCCTGAGTGCCATTCTGTGTCAGAGGGCCTGGCATCTGGCCAAGGACAGACCTCAGGACCCACAGAGCTCACAGGTGCCTACTAAGAGTCCATCTTCCTTTCCTCCGAGAAGGTGCTCTGGGGCTGGTGTGAGCACGGTCCAGTCTCTCTCACGGGAGGATGGCTYCCTCTGGGGGCTCAGAGTGTCAGGGAGCCTAGTTGAAACCCGGAGTCGGGACTGATTTCCAGTGCATGGATGCCTTAKGGTGACATTCAGAAGTATTCAGATAATTTCTAATTTTGCTTCAGTCCTAAGAAAGGGATGGGATATTTCAAAAAATATCTATTAAAAGCAGCAGCTGCAGATCTGGCTGCGGAACTGCCTTTGGAGGAACAATGGGTATTGACGTGTTCTTCAGGCTGGATSCCGAGGCCAACCAGCAATGGCAGTAACAGCACTGCTGGGTGAGCTGGCTGACTTTCCAGCAGCACCCACGGGGACCAGCCTGACCTGGCACCCATGCAGGGGAAAGCTGGGCAGCACTGAGGCCTCTGTCAAGGGAGGCTAACCTGAGCCAGACACGTGCTTCTCACCAGCCAGCAAACACTTGATCTTGTTTTTTGCTCAAGGAAAAAAAAATGATTTTTTTAAACTTTTCCTAATTTAAGTATTTAATACAAGTCAATTTAAAATTTACTCATTTTGATACCAATAAATATTTTTCACATGTCTTTTTTCTTTTTGGTGAGAGTCAAGGAAGTTGTCATATTTTGCTCAAGGAGCAATATTATAACCCAAAAAATGCCACTAAAAACAAATTTTCATACCTATGAAAATCACCTTTGCTGCTGTTTTGTGCATGTAGCTGCCTTTTACAAATGTCCCCCTCATCATCTGGTAAGAGAAGAAGCGTCCTCTTTCCTCCATGAAAAAAAATATTGATTGTGCTCATTTCCAGAGTTTTCATAGTGTTCCGGATCCCCACTCTGCCTYGGCTGGCCCTGTGGACGGGGGCCTTTCCCTGCCAGGACTAAGCCCAGTGGGGCAGGAGGGCCTGGATGGGGCTGGGCAGGCAGGCTCCAGCCCTGCCCGAGCACCGCTGCCCAGGGGACTCCCAGGCGCTGGGTGGAGTGGCCCTGAGGTCTTCGTGGCTCCTCCCTAGGTGGTGCCCAGGGCCACACAAGGCAGCCTGGCAGAAGCCACCACCTCTCCMCAGCGTTTTGGGCATCCATTTCTAGGCAGCTGTTCAGAGACTTTAGGGCATGATTTAAACTCTTGGATTTACAGGCAAATTTTCTAGCTTTAGGAAACCTCAACATTCAAAGACAATTTTCCGCCCTTGTGAGTGCGGGAGTGATTATTCATCTAACCAAGGGAACCTCTGCTCCCAGAAGCTGTGGGCTCCGGGATCTGGAGGGTGGGGGTGGTGTGGGATGGATTAGCACCTTCGATTGGCACCTGTGCATCCAAGAGCACAGCTTCCCTGTGAAGGGAGGCCCACGTGGGCAAAGTCCCCACGGGCAGAACTGGAGGCATATGGGCCTCACAGCCTGGGCTCTGAAAGGGTTTCCATGGAAACGGCCCTGGCTGCTGGCAGGGAGGCTGGGCCTGAAGCCTGAGCCACTCTGAAGCCTGAAGCAAAAGGGGCTGGGCCTGGCTTCCTGAGGGTCACCAGGAAGAGCAGCACCTGGGCTATTTTAAGTTCCTGTGAAGAGGACGTTGCCCTAGACAAAGAGCTTGGCTTCGTCCATCGTTTTTCCCCTTCTTCAGAGGTACTCTGGGTAGAAACACTCMGAGAAGAAAGAGCAACGATGGACCACCTCAGACCTGCACGTGCAGGCTGGTGGTGTGCTAGACAGGAGGTCCCCGATCCTCCCTGACCTTCTGGGTCCTGTGTCTGCCTCCAGAGTACACCATACMAAGAGAAAATAATTTTCAGCAGGGAAATTTGGTCTTGTATAGACATTTAAGAATGCTGATGGAAAAATCATAATAATGTGTTTAAAATTTTTTTCAGGTGTMGATGGACACMATACCTTTATTTTACTTATTTATTTTTACGTGGTGCTGAGGATCTAACCCAGTGCCTCACATGTGCTGGGCAGGTGCTCTACCACAGAGCTACAACCCCAGCCCAGTAATGCGTTTTAAATAGTGCTCAATTAAGGTGACAGGAGACTCAGGCAGCACTGAGGTGTGCTCACAGACATGTGCWTTCTGACCTCACTGCCGTGACCTTTCCCTGAGGAGTGGCAGACCTGAGCYACAGTGAGACCTGCAGGTCTGAGCCCCTGACCCTCTGCTGCTGGGCTTCTCTTTGTTGTTCACTACTGGAGAAACTTTGGACACCCTGGCACAGTGGTGGCACCTGTCATCCCAACTACTTGGGAGGCTGAGGCGGGAGGATCRCTTGAAGCCAGGARTTCRAGACCAGTGTGCAACATAGAWATACCTATCTAAAACAATAGGCCCAGGACCTTTATAGAAATTGTCACCAGCCACATCTACTTGGTGGTCATCAGATATATCCTTCAACATGATCAGGCACATCCTGCAACATCAAAAATCAATTTGATATCTGTGCACTGCCACGTATAATCATAAAGACCCAGGGTTTGCACTGGCACACRTAGCTCAGACAGGTCAGTGGCCAGCACATGGCACGGGTGCCTCCAATTGGACCCAGGCAGGCGCAAATGCATCAGAGCACTGTGGGATTCTCCTCTGTAGGACCCTGCCTGAGATGGGGAAGCAGGAAAGGAAGCAGTCCTGTGACTGACTGGAATTGCATCRTTGGCTGATCATTCACAAGGAAGTTTGAAAAGGCTTCCTCTACATTCTGTCATCCTACCTGTCTTCCAAAACAGAAGATTCTGAGGGTTAAGTCAGTGTCATGACTAAGTCAAGGCAGGACAGCGTGGTGCTTTTCACCCTGGGTGTGCCCCTAGGTACCTGAGCATGCACAGAGAAGTACGTCTTGCTGCTCAAGGTGGACARAAGAGGAGCCCACTTCACGCCAATCCTGCAAGCAGCATGGTCAGCAGCTCCCCACAAGTCCAGGACACTGCCAGCATCCTCCACATTTGTACTGAAGGGTGGGATGCAGTATGGGTGGACACCCAGGGCCAGCCCAGGCCACTTGTCTCCAAGTACTTGGGGAATCAGGTCACACTGGCACTGACTGCAGGCAGCAGGACCCTCTCAGCACCAGGAGTGCTCTGCATTCTCYTGCTGGGTGGGAAGGAGCCCCTAGTCACCAGTCCAGGCAGAGACGACTGATCTTACRGTGTTGTCCAGCAAGGCCTAGGTGCTGTCCATGGGATGGAGCTCTGGCTGGACTGGGACCTCTGGGCCAAGCCCCTCTGCCTGGGTTAGGACCTCAGCTGACCCCTCTGGCTGAGTCTGCCCCCAGGCTCTGATTTTGAGCTTGGTGGCTCATGTGCACAGAGCACACTGACTGTTTGGAATAACAGCATCAAACATCACAATGACGTACTCGAGCACTTTGCAGAGTTTCCTGAGGAGACCTTGAAAGTGTTGGTTTGTTTCCTTTGTTCAGGGAAACTCTATCTTAATTAGTAAAACACAAAATATGAAAAAAATCTTGTTTCATAGTTAAAATAACCTTGTTTGAATGTTAAAATAATCACAACGATGCAGACTGAGCCCTCCTTACAGTAGTTGAATACATTTGTACATTGGAACCATTCAGGCCCTGATGGATCAGCCTTTGAAGAGAAGTTTTAGTTAAATGTTATGTTTTCTYGAACAGATCTTGTTCTAAAAGTGAGTTTGTTTATTTTCATTCTTTTTTTTTTCATAGAAATGAGAAACAAAGAAGTGTAGAAAGGGGCGAAATAAAGACATTTTRTATGGAAAATGAGACCCACTCCTTCCTATGCTAAGGCTTGGCTATTTCTTCCCCAACAGAAAGAAACCAGGCCACTGAGAGCAGAATACATGGCTCTGACCAATTTCTAAGATATTTTACCTGAAACTCAAGGGAGGACGGAAGCTCAAGGGTCACTTTTCAAAGTGCGTGATATTCAGTACTTTCCCCTTTTTTGGAGTTCAGTCTTAGGTGTGCACACCTGGATCCCTGTCCTGGGGTCACCGAGGCTCCCAGCTGGACAGGTGTTGCCAAGGCCTCCTGCTG